ATTGTTGAAAAAACAATAAGCACAGTTCCAAAAATTTCAGGATCTTTTAAGATTGGTACAAGGTAGTATACAAAAATATTTGAGCAAAAAATTTATTGTCGACCGTCATTTTTTACGATTTTCAAAAATTCAAAATTTGACAAATTTGGCATTTTTCAAAATTTTTTCCCAAAATATTTTTTTTTTAATAGCTCCAAGTGTCCCCTTTCAAACAAATGAAAGATTATTCCTGTATCTATACTAGCGTTCGAGATATTACAAAAACAAAATTGAAAAACTGGAAAAATCGCGAAATTTTGAGTTTGCATATCTTTTGAAAAAAATTTTTTTATTTTTTTTCCTTTGGCAGAACTTCGTTATATGATAAAAGAAAACTTCTGACCAAAATTCGTCCAAATCGAAAGGGGTCGATTCCAACTATTGGTCGATTTGACATAGAATGACCCTACTACATTATATTTTGAAGAAATCGATCCATAATTTTATTGAATTTCAAAACTGTAATAAATATTAATAACTAGAAAACCATATTCTACCATTTGAAATTGCAGTACATAAGTTTTTATTCTTGAAAAAGTGAAACCCAAAAAATATTTACCGGTAGTCAATTATCACCATTTTTTATGAATATAAAATAAAAGTTTATAAACTTGAGAAGCCACTAATAAAGTCATTAAATTTTAATTAAAAAAAAAAAGTTTGTTGCTCGACAGAAATGCTCCAATAAGTGTTCAGCTGAATGAAGATACAGTTTCACAGAGTGCTTTACCTGATAGTTCATGTCATCGACATTATTTTTCCACGTAGTCATATCCTCTTTCAATTTGCTCGGGTATGAAAGTTGATCGTTGAAAAAAAGTAGCACAAAGGACGTTTTTATCGTTATTTATAACTCTATATAAATGTATTTATATATAAATTCAATATAAGTCAATACCTTGCAATCAATTAAATTTTTAAGAATAAAAGTAGTCGTGGCTATGATTGGTCAGACGTCGAGTCATATTTCAAGTCTAGTGTTGATTGTTTGTTATGTGATTCAGAAAAAGCGAGCTAAAGAAATAAACTTAAAAAAAATAGCAATAAAAGGAAACGCATCGAGGCTTGAGTGGAAAAAATATTTGTAAATTATACCAAGGATCCTCGGGGTTATATTTCCGACTGTTTGTGACGTTATATTAAATATACTGCTACTTTCTAGCTCTTCAAAGAAATCTAGGGATATTATTTAATAAACCATTTGATACTGTAAAAAAGTTTTGTGTAATTTGTAATAAATTTCAGCTTTTTTTCATAAATAAATTTTTTTATTACACGGAAAAAAGTAAACTATGAAATTCACTCGCATTCCGGTTAATTTTTTCAAATAGTAAAGCGGACATCGGGGTTGCACAAATGTGAATATTACAGAGCTTAATGTAGAAAGTGTAAAAGCCACAATTTATAATTTAATATCGAAAATGTGATTAGTAGCTATCACTATAGTAAATAACGCCTCTCTCATCTTAAAAAATTATAGTTTCAAACGGTAAAAATTGCTGTTTAAATATATAGTCTATACTATGAGGAGAAGGGGAAGGTCTCACACTCGTAGAATTTAACATTTGAAACAGTAAAAATTCTACTTTTAAAATTTATATTTTACCAGTCCAAGCAAATCAATAATTATAGTTTGATTTTTATCGTTGCGTTTAAAATTTACAATTTTACTTTGTAAATATTGACGTTGCTTGTATAGAAATTTAGTAACTGTAGTTTACATTTTTTACATATCATGCGATCATTTTTTAGGTACGAAATGATAAATATCAGTCAAAATTCTTAATTATTATACTTTAACGCACTTTCGACATTCACATAGCGAATATTACTATTTGAAATAGTATTTTCTTCCATGTAAATAATAAATTGTAGCATTTAAATGATAAATATTATAAAGTGATTGTTAAAATTACAATTTTACCATTTGAAATTGTAATTTTTTCCAGTTGATCATTACTTATTATATCGGCTATTATTTATTCCACTTTACTTTTTTCCGTGTATTATTATTTCCATTTTATAATTTTAAAGCTTTTAAAACAAAATCAACCGTAATATTTTTCGTAATAAGTAATCCTCTTAAGCGATTAAAGTACTTTTCATCGATGTAATGAAATTTTTCGATAATTCAACGAACCAGAATTAATAACAAACATAACTATAGATTTAAACAAGCTTACGTGTGTATAATTGTTGATAAAAACAATAAATTATCTTTGGCAACAATAAATAATAAAAATATCGCTGTCATCATCATCGCGCTTGCAATAAACAATCTCGTAGGCCTATAATTTAACGTCCGAGTGACAGAGAAAGGATAGTATGCTGTAGAATATACAGACAGCGTTACAGTGAACAACATTCAGTGGATAGTGGAAGTGAATTTCACGATATACGCGTTACGATTGAGCGTAATATGCAAATGACAACAGAGAGACAGTAGGTAGTAGGTAGTAGGTAGTAGGTAGTAGTTTCGTTCAGTAGTGAGGACTGGTAGATTTACCCTGGAAATTACTGATGGAAATCTCGTTTAGTATCTACTTAATGAATAGATACTGTACAACGATTTCGTCCCGAGAAATTTCAAAATGATCCTACCCGACGATAAAGCTCTTGATGAGCATATGCTATAGTTTAGTATCATGGTACACATGATATTGCATACCGGAGGAACGTTGCGTGTTGTAACACAACTGTCATCTATGTATTACACTGGATATGATACACTGCAGAACAGAATACAGTCTACTGTAACAGCAACAGCGATCCGAAGCTGTGAAAATACCTGCTCGTACAACTAAATTGAAACTCAAATTCCACGTTGAATTATGCGTCACCAGACGCCTGCAATTACAAACAATCTAAAATGTATCAACACTAGATACGATTCAGATCATGTAATTAGAAAATTTTTGTTTATTATTATTATTATTATTATTATTATTCTTATTATTATTTGTCTTGTCGATAGTTTTTCAATTAACGAGGTGGAAAATTTTGAGGAATTTACTACGGGGGTTTTATGCCTACGCGGTCGAATATTTCTCAGGGAATGCTCTTTTGAAATTCCATGCGACATTCCATATTCCCCAAAGCTTGGCAGCCTTACTCTGGCACGAATAACATCCACGTTAGGAAGATTAAAATGTTTAAGCTCCTCAGTGGACTTGGAATATTTTGTGAGACTATGTGTCATATTCTCCAAGGTGGTTTATGTTTTTGGGTATATAATTATTTATAGGGTTTTGACGGGATGCATTATTTAGATATTTTAAATTGCATAGAAAAAAGGTTCATTTGAGCCACGAAAATATTTTTCTTCTTAATTATTTTCTTGAGCGAAAAAAAATTTTTTTTTTGATAAGAAATATCACTTATTCCAACAAAATTAATTATCTTGCTTTAAGAAATACGTATCTTGATCCAAGAAAATTTATTTAAGTCAAGAAAATCTTGTTTTGAGAAAATTCAGCCTCTTGCTCCAAAAAATTTAATTCTTGATAGAAGTAAATTTTCTTGTCTTGAGAAAATTTCTCTCTTGCTCCAAAAAATTAAATATAAAGATAGAAGTAAATTTTCATTAATATTTTTATTAATTAACATGTCAAATGGGAAGATCAAATAATATTTCATCATTTTTTTTCATTCAATATGTATAATTGCACGCTAAAATAATATAAAATGGGTATCAAATATTCAAGAGAAAAATTTTCTCAAGGTGACAAAATTTTTTTCTCAGTTGAAGTAGGTGGCGCTGCTTTCCTAAAGTATCTAAAAATCTTGATCAAATATAAAAATTTATTGTATCAAGTATTTTTGATAATTTGAATTAAGAAAAAATGACTTCCACTAAGAATAGAATTTCTCGAAAAATTTTTACTTCGGCCTACACAACTTCGGTCTTCCTTCGGGCACCCGAAAATTTTTTTGAGCCAAGAATTTTGTTCTCCAGTCAAGAAATTTTTCTTTCTGTGTAGATGTACAAACAATTAGTGGATTTTTAGATTGCTAATTATAAATAAACTACATTGAATTAGACCGTGATCTTTGAAAGGACTTAGTTTTAAATCCACGGAATATTTTTTTTATTTATTTAAAAAGCAAAATGTTTTTTAAAAATGTCAAATGTTAAAACTAGTGTTTTTCCATGACATTTATGTGTAAATATTGTTCTACAAGTGCGATAGAAAATAAATAGAGACAATTTTAGTTAAAAAAAAAAAATCGCTTGATTTTTGTAAAACGAATGTAGAGGACAATCTCATCCGCTTCACTTATGAGGCGTGCAATTATATAAAAAAATTAATAAAAAAAAAACAATAATAATAAGTGAAAAATTTAATGACTAATAACATAAATCAATCGGTCAGCTCGTTATTTCCATATTAAATATTAGTTCGACGTAACCAAATATTTACCGACGTTGATTTCAAATAGTGACTTTGAACAAATATCCGAATTAATGCTAGGATTAAATGCCCTCTCATATTTATATACATATACATAGTAAAGGGAACATAGGGGCGAATCAGATGAGACAATCGATAATTCATGTGATTCGCTGATATAAATGCTAAATTCACACACATTTATGTATCCATACCCCGAAATCATAAATAGACGACATAAATGAATTCAAATACGGTCACATTTAAATATATGCTTATGATTTATGATAATAAAATATTTACATTTAATTTATATAAATTTAAATATATTTCTATTAACGCCTGAGTGATATATTAAAAAACCGTAATTTTTTTCTCGACAATTTTTCTTTAGCCTTTACAATTTTTCATAGAACCAAAAAAAACCAGCGGTCGAAACTTGGACGTCATTCAGAGAAAGTTTTTCTTTAAAATTTGAATAACGCAGCTCTAATTAACATCGCTAGTTATTCAAACTAGTGATATATACGATAAGCTTGGAGCAAATAATATTCGAGCGAGCTGCATGCTCCCAATTAGAGCTTTTACTTTGGCCTTTACTTACACGGTTTTTCGCCCTCTTCATACATTAACCTACTCGAAAATTCTCATCGTACACTGAATTTCAATTCATATTCTGACAGACAATCCTTATATTTATCTCTTTTTATTAATTACTATATTACCATTTTTTTATCTTTCCAATCCTCTACAGCAGCTACAGTGGCTAACGTTTCCCTACTATGCACACCCATCGATATATAATATCCATGTATATATATATATATATACCTACCCACAGAAAATTGATTATGGAACATACAATTAAATATCTTGTATCTGAAAATAATTTTCAATAGCAGAGATTATTCCGGTTGAATTTCAATACGGTATCATATATATTTCATTCAATTACAAGGCCAATAATTAAAAATTTATTGTTACTCTATGTCAATAACGAACGTGCTTGCATGACTTGAATTTCATTTTTTAATCATGTCTAAATGCCGTACCTGGTCAAGCCTAAATTTTTCTACTCCGGTGCATTTTTTCCAATTACACAAATAAAATGAAAAATTTCTCTGTTAATATTACTTTTGTCCTCGAAATAAATATGAAGCATCATAAAACACACAAAGCTTTGTCGTG